AGAGAGAGAGAGAGAGAGAGAGAGAGAGAGAGAGAGAGAGAAGAGAGAGGCAGAGGCAGAGACAGAGAGAGACAGAGCGCAACACAGACAGAAAGGCAGACAGAGAGGAGCCAAAGAACACAGTGAGAGGTCGTGACAGCAACGAACTTGGGGCGGGAACTTCGCTACACTCCGAACATGCAAGTCGGCACCAAAGAGTGGGATAAGTAGAGGTTATTCATATGCAACCTGCGCGGGCCAAAAGTGAACAGGCGGCAACAGGTACGCACCTCGTGGACAGCATGGAAGCCCTCTTCTCCAGAGCCAGGCGATCGCCCCCGCGAACCTGGGGGTCCCTCAGGCCCTCCTGAGAGGCCCAGAGCGCGCACAGCAGGCGCTTGGCGTGTGCGAGGTCGAGCGACAGGCGGTTCCACCAACGCCCTCGTCGGTGAGGCGTGTACCTGCGCCGGGAGAATATGGACGACCGCATGCAGGCATGCGGGATGACAATTACGGCCTACGATCGACGAGACAAGCTACTTGCTTGGGCGATTGAGTGGACAAGCAGTTTCCACCGTGGACATTGTTACGACGCATCGTCGTCGTCTTTGTCACTTTCATAGTGAAGCCAGCCCTGATCTCTACCCGGCACCCTGTGTTCTGTAATCGCCAAGGACAAGAAGCGAATCGACTGTTGGTTTTACTCCTAGTCGTACACTAGATGAGTTTCCATAATTTCCCTCCACGACCACAAACTTTCGAACATGAAATAGCACCAGGCACCACATGCTCATGGCTGCTGACGAGTTGGCGTACATCACGTTGTAGGACATGCCTCACACCAAAAAACGTCGAGCAGCGGTGACGCTGCTGTGCGCGCTGCATCGCGCGTTGGGGGTTGGCACACCGACGCAGCTCTTGACGCATAGCACTGGCGTCGCCGACAAAGAGTATCATACAGAAACTAACCGCACCTCGTTGCCAGCAGCTGGGTTAACAGCTCGACGGCGCCCTCGTAGTCCCTCGCTCTTTCTAGAAGCGCCACTCCTTCCCACACCGCCGAAGCCAAGACCCAACCCGCTTCGAGCTGTAGCAAGAACTCCGGCACCTCGTTGTTGCTGCCGACTACGTCCCCCTTCCCCTCCTCAGTACCGCTTCCCGTAGCTGCCCCCACCTGCTCTCGTACTGGAGCGAAATCTGACGTGGGGTCTCCTCCAGAAGCAACCCCCCCTGCCGTCACGGAGACCAGTCTCAATTTCGGTTCGTTCTCGTGGTGTCGTGACTCGCTGGGATGCGTGAGCAACGCCGGCGCACATTTTCCATCTTCTTGCTGTTGCTGACGAGGACGCTCCGCACGACCCGCGTAAGTGCTCGTTCTCTTCTGACCCACCTCCTCTGGTGTTATCTCCCTGACGGGGCGAGTCCAAGCCTCTGGGGGCTTGTCCAGGCCGCACCGCGCCCTCAGTAACCGCGACAACTTGTCATCTTCCTCCATCCCTCCTCTGACGCCATTCTTGGCAGCAGAGAAACCAGACGAGGGAGACGAGACCTGGGAACCCAAAGTGACGGCCGGACTCCCGACATGGGCGTGCAGGCACCGTGAGCAGGCGAAGGATATCGCCGCTGCTATCGCATTTGAAGGATCTGTGGTGGTGGTGACGGCAGCGGTAGTGACAGCGGTAGTGACAGCGGCGGCAGCGGTACGACCAGTGCGCCCCTCGTCGTCACCTTCCGAAAAAAACTGGGCGATCATGTCCTCCAGCTGGCTCACTGCAGACCGAATCACCTCCGCCTCCTCCTCCCCTTCGTCCTCCGCTGCTTGGGCCCCTTGTCGGCCCTCGTCCATTTTAATGCGCTCTAGGTTAGCGTTCAGGCTGTCCGATTCTTCTTTCCGGAAAGCAAACGGCTCCTCGACGTTTTCAAGCTCCCCGTCGCTATCCACAACCAAAACCTCCGGTCGCGATCTTTTTCCGGCCGACCTCCCGTTTTCCTCCTCCTCCCCCTCCTCCTCCTCTTCCTCCTCCTCCTCTCCCTCCTCACATTCCGAACCGCCTGCCACCCGTGCAGCAGCGACCGCCGCTGGTCCTGCCTGGCGCCCTCGAGAAATTTCCTCCATGGCTCCGTCCAGAGCGCACCGCAGCTCTACTGCTGCTTCCCACCTCAAGAAGTCACCTCTCTGCTGGAAGGCTCTTGCTTGCGGGTTACACACGTAGGATGCGTACCTTGATCGACGACAGCAGGGGATGCAGGGTGGTGTTGGCGGGGAGGGGGGTGAAGGGTGGAAGATCGAGCACACTCTTAAGCGGCAGTGCCATGCAATGATGTATTCTACACCTTGTCCTGCAAGGTGAAAATCTGTCAGCTTCATTTCCGGGATAGCCTGCGCCTGCGCGGATTCATGCTTACCACGGACAAGCTCTTTGCTCAGGACGCGACAGAACACAGCAAATGGGAGGCACTTCGGACCCATCAGTGGGCAGATCGAGATTTCCAACTACCATGAAGAAAACCCTGGCGATGCGAACCATGCAAACCAGCAAACACGAGCTTGGCGGCTTCCAGTTAGGCCGCTGTCAGCGCAGCACCACACCTCGTTTTGCCGAACGCCGCGGAGAGACCTGGAGACCAAGATGACAAGGTCCCCGTGATTCTCGCACCACGAACGGACGCCGCCCCAACCCGCCCGCTGCTCAGAGCCCCCGTGTTGCAAGTCAGGTACATCAACCGCAGTGCTCTCTTGAAGACTAGCTGAGGGCCGCCAGCCACAGCCACCAACCAGTGGCAGCGCTGTTTCTTTCCCCGCATACCCGCGCCAACAACAGTAGAACCAGTGTCGCTACTGCCGCCGCCGCTGCACCTCGTCGCGGTCGTATCAACTCCCAACGCCTCCACGGAGACCGAGATCAGGCGCTCGATCTCCTTCACAAGCGGGGACTTGACGCCCCACAGGGTCTGCTGACCGGCTAGTCTCCGCCGCAGTTCTTCCAGTAATTCTCGCCGCCCTCCCCGAGCTGCCCCCGGCGCCGTCCCAGAGGCGGCCCCTGCTCCTTGCCGTCTGGAATGTTTCGAACCTGAGCGCGCCGGCTGGTGACACCTTGCTGACTCCTTGCCTGCTTGCGGGCGCGTCGGCGTGCCCTTCTTACTCCCCCCCGTCCTCTTCAGTAGCGTTTTAATCTCGGGCGATCGCATGCAGCACTCAACCGCGGCGAGAGCGGCCTCAAGGCCGGGTCCTGTGCGCCCTACATTGTCCGGCAGGGCGCCCAGGAACCTAGCTTCCACCAGCTCTTGCAAAGACGATTGTATCTCTCCGTGCAGAACAGTGAGCTCCCGTGGCGTGAGAGCGACAGACGCCTCTGCGACTGCTGCCAGTGTTGCAGCCTCTGCTGCCTCTGCTTCTGCCTCTGCCGCTACTGTCGCTGCTTCTTCTGCCGGTGGTGTTGTTCCCGGTTGTGGCGGCGATCCGGTCGAAGGACAAACGCCTTCGGGCGGATGGGCTTCGTCCCGATGTAGCTCAGCGGGTATCGTCACACCCTCTGGTTCCAGGCCTTCGCTAACTGACAGCACGCCAGGAGGGCTTTTGTTGTCGGCGCGAGGGGATAGCGCCCTTTCGCCTACAGCAGGCGCAAAAGGAGTGCGAGGCGGCCCGAACGTGGTCGATTCATCTCGCCGTTCGCAGCTGACGTGAGCCTTGGGGGTGGGATCTCCCCCGGCAGCGGCAGCAGCAGCAGCAGCGGCAGCGGCGGCAGCAGCATCATCGGCCGTGGTGGCGGCGTTCCGCCGACGAACCCACAAAGGCGTCCCCGAGCCAACTTCATCGTAGGCAAACATACTGTCTGCTCGGAACCACGGGCCCTTCCGCTGAAACAGACGGACGTACAGCGTCTTGCTGGGCTCGGAGAGCCGCTCGAATCTCTGTGCCACGTCGCGTTCCTCCGCGGTAAATAGGCGGGCGTAGTCTGACCGTGCGTACATCACCGTGCCCATGGCTTCCTCGAAATGTCGAACGTAGGTTGACCTTGGAGGTGGTCGAGGATTCCCCTCCGCCCTTGTGTCGTCGGCTACTACCCTTGCTACTGCTGCTGCTACTCCTGCCGCCGCCGTTGACACCGTGGGAAGTGTTTCCAATGACGACAGTGACCCACCAGTGGGTATCATCGCCGTTGGGGCCGTCACGATCCGCGGAAGCTGCTGCAGACACGAAGAAGGAGGAGGAATGGCAGGGGGGCTGCCGGCTTCTCGCGCCTCGGCAAATGATGCGCGATGGGGCTGATCATTATTGTCGACGGTTCGCCCTGGTGGCGTTCCGCGAGGTGGTATTGCAGTCGGTTGTGGTGGTCGCCGCGACCGACCTTCCTCGGTGATGCTTCCTTCTTCGCCCTTCTGGTGGAGTTGGTCGTCTTGGGTTCGGTGGTGGACGGCTTCTTCCGTTAGATCGATCACCGTTGAATTTTCTTCTCGCTGCCGCTGCGCCGGAGACAGGGACGACGATGCCGCCCAGGGGGAGGAAGGGCGTGGTCGTTTGCGCGACGAGGAGAGGCTTGCCCATGGAGAGCTTCTCTCGGGGGATCCTTTCTTCCGCATGCTGTTGTCCATGGTTGTCGCAGTGTTCTGCGGTGATGCCGCTGGTCTTGGTTGTGCGGGAGAAGAGAACCCCACCGTTGGCCACGTCCGCGGAGATCGGGGAAAAGTTGGCGTCGGCGAAGCCTGTGCATGTTTCGCGACGTGGGTGCGGGGACAGCGGGACATGGAGAAGATATTTCTCAGCGGCAGTCAAACGCCAAAACTGGCCGCTGCTGCGGCTGCTGTCGTACCACCACAGCAATAGACTCGAGAAATCTTGACTCAAAGATACGGATACTCTGCACAACACGTACGTAGTACCGCGAACAAGCGGAGTATTTGCCTCTACGCAGCAACACGTACATTGCAGTTGCCGGCCATTTCATCAGCGTCAAGTCTCTGTTGTTGGTGGTGCCTGCTGTGCTTCAGAGGGAGCGAGAGTTTTCCGCGTTTTTTCATGCTGAACCTTGGTTGCCTAGTCGCTCTCCAGCACTAGACAGCACTAGGTTGCCACAGGAGTAGTATCAGCGATACGATGATAAAATGATAGAAGCGAGAGAGGTGGTCCTGAGCACGGAGGACGTGGTGGTTCGTGAAGGCGGTTCAAGGGGGCGAATTTGAAATGTGCGGCGGAACTAGGTGCTGGGAACCAGAGGCCACACGATTGGTGTTGCCCAAAAAGAAGATGTACTCGCATGTGCAGTAAATCTCCTTCGCGTGCACCCCATGGCTGTGGTCCAAGTGTGGTCCGGTAGGACTGCACAGCGGGCGCCCAAACGCGGGCTTCCACCCACAGACACGAGGAAACATGGATCGATACATGGGATCCACGATGTTTTGCAAGGAGTGCGTGGCGGAGAGCGATATTTATGTCGGTGAGTGCGTGTAGATTGATGGACCCTTGGAACAAATTTTGTTCGTCGATCACCTACCTGGTACCTGGTGGTTGTGGGACTACTTGACGCCCCAATCTCATTGCCCCCAAGCCCCACGGAAAGGCAGTACATGGGAAGGAAGCCATACATAGCCGCAACGCACACCGATCAATCTCCCGACATATGTTGTTATCCTCACCGCCTCTAATTTAGCGTCTCCTTCGCTGCTGCTGCTTTATTTTTTGTCGCCAGATCCTCGCGCCGGAGAGATCATCTGCCGGACGTGCGCCGTTGTTATCGGCGAGCGATGCATCGATGACGGGGCGGAGTGGCAGACGTACGCTGAAGACAGCAACAATGGCAGGGCCGATCCCAACCGTTGCGGTACGTTTGAGTGCTCGCGTTCTTTCCGCAGTTTTTCTCATCTGTGGTGCATCGTAGAATTGCAAGCACAATAAGACGCTCTTCTTGCTGATTTGGACCTCGCCTCGGATCAGCTCTCAAACCCAGCACATTAATTTCATCAACGTACACAAATGCTCCGCGCTTAGATGATCGCTGGTACATACACGAACAGACATTTGGCACACCCGGCATCATCACCGAAATACTAGAGCCATGACTCACGGAGGCAAGCACATCGAATTGTTTGTAAACATGCGATTTGGATGAGATGCATATTGCTGACCGGGAACGCATGTACCATGCGCTTATTATGTACCCCTCTTGTCTGATCGAGGATTCAGGATCGTGCAGCTGCGTGTTACACCGCCCATGGTCGATTAGGCCACTCGTGTTGCAGGTACGTTCTACAGCAACCCTGTGCCGTCTTCTTTTGTTTTGGTTGCTTCCGTTTTTTTGCCAGTCAAACAACAGGAAATGGAGACCATCACCTCATTTTTTGGTGTGTTGATGTGACTCGAAGCGAACGGTGCATCTCGCGCTGTCTTCCCTCTCCTTATCTGGTCCACTCTCGACGACCATTAACCACTTTTCGAGCAAACATAATGCCTTCCATAGACAGAAATTTCTAGATGCCCCCCCCGAAACGCCGCTTCTCCACTTACCAGTCTACCCCTTGCCTTGTTTCGGCGGTCGCCTGCCCTTACCCTCGCCGCGCAGGTGCCGCTGCAAGCCCTCTCCTGTCGGCGAAGTCGGGCATGAACACCCTTATCGAGGGCGGGCAAGACTCGAAGCTCACGGCGAAGCTGCAGAAGCTGCAGGGCATGGCCGTGAAGGAGTCGGCGTCGGAAAGGGCTCTCAAGATGGACTTCTTCGGCAAAGTGCGCGAGTTCGGGAACAGACTGGGCCTCACTCACGCCATGCAGGTGGGTCGTTTGAGGTGGTCGCGGCGGGGGGGGTGTTGGAGCAGGACCTGCAACGAGAGTCATGGCCAGTGGTAGATTTGGGGGTCCATTCTTGCGGTAGGCTATGGATGTACTTAATTTCGTACCCTTGTTCACCCCCAAACTGATTTGAAACCTACCTGCCAATCCCATGGCCATGGCCAACGCGACTGATGTCCCCGCTTTTTTTTTGTCTGGTTTGGTCTACCCTCGTTGTTGCTACTGTTGTTTCAGGAGCACGCGTGCCTGTTGCTGCGGAAGGCGGAGGACAGCGGTTTGTTCAAGGTCAAAAAGGCCGAGCGAGGGGTAGCCATCTGCGTGGCGGTGACACTTCTCACGTGTCGGCAGTGGCGACGGGGTCAGACCATGAAGGAGATGTCCACCATGTTCAACGTGTCGCTCAAAGCCCTCAACAAAGCGGTCAAGGTGAGTGAACCAATCCCTTCCCCCGTGCGTTGCTCGCATTTTATGAGGCTTTGAGGACTCGTTCAACAATAATGTTTCTTTTCTGCTATGCCCCTCTTGGCCCCTCCGTGCTGTGCGTGTGCACATTCTGCTGTCTGCTCCTTCTCCCTCGGCGGTCGGCGGACGTGTGCCAAAAAGGTCCCATGCATTTGAGCACGGGCGGGCCGGATTCGACGAATACGCACAGTAGTCACGGCATACGTTGTAGATGAAACTTGATCAACAGTACATGAACTCCTACAACTTTCATTTGAGCGGCCAAGACCCTAAACTCCCCCCCCCCTCCCCCTCCTCTTTCCGGCATTCACCCCTTTCTTTCGCTCGGTAGAAACTAAGCAACCTGGAGATTGAAAGGGCGCCATCGCTCCGGGGGGAGCACCACATCCCGCTGCTCTGCGACAAGCTGGGTCTTCCGCCGTTCGTGTCGGTGGCGGCCAGGCACGCGGCGCAGCAGGCGAGCAGGTGGGACCTGGTGGACGGCATGAAGCCCTCCGCGGTGGCGGCGGCGGCGGTGCTCCTGGTGTGCTCGTGCTGGAATCCCGCCGCTTGCGGTGACGGCGTCGTCGATCGGAGATCAAAGAAAGCAAGAAAAACGCAGCAGCAGCAGCAGGCGGCGGTGGAGGGGGAGACGTGGGATGTTAGGCCGGCGGCGGTGTCGGAGGCTGGGGGGACGACGGTGATGGCGATGAAGCGACCGTTCCGGGCGATGTACGAGCAGCGGGGGCGCCTGTTCACGGTGGAGTTCCTGGAGAGGCGCGCGGCCAAGGAGGTGACGCTGGAGACGCTCAAGCCTATCCTGATGTGATAATCGACGGTGAGGAGGCGTCGCACCTGTTGGGGGAGAGAAGGAGGTCTCGGCGACATTGTCCCTTTTCGTCTTGGCGGCGAGACTGGTAGCACGAAGTGGGGGCGACGGTGAAAAGAGCTTGCTTTATTTACTTGCGTCGAGGGATAGTGCTTCTTTTAGGCGTCAAAAGGCGGGTAAAATCGTCTACTTTTGTGTCCATTTCCCCCTTCTTACTCCCCCTTGAGTTTTAGAAAAACTGAGGTCGCCGGTCCACGACTCTCGGGGACGATCTGGCAGGTGGAAGTGAGTTGAAGCGGTTCGGTGGCCCCCAGTCCCCCTTTCTCCTATCTTTGTAGGCGATACATCAGATGGTTCGTCGGAGTGGGGCAGGGGAGGGGTAGCGATTCTCGGATTTTGTGATTGCTCGTGAGACCTTCAGGCCGGAAGGCAGGCAGAGCAATCACTCAGCGCCGCGCCCCTTCACACCCCTTCCACAACGAAAAAGTTGGACCGTTTTTGTTTGTTGGTTGCCCTAGAGGTAGCATTGTTTCGGTGGACTTGAGGTGTTGGGCGTTGGATGGGGTAATGAGGGGATGAGAACCGCTTTTTAGGTCCCTGGGTTGAGCGGGGGTGGGTGGGGAGGGCTTGAAACATGTTAGCGTTGGCTGCTGATGCTGCTGCTGCTGTCATTGGAGTTCGATCCGGGGTCGAAAAGAGAGAGGCTTGTGTACTATGATAGGAGGAGTTTGGGAGGGGCAGTCGCATATAGCTCGTCCGCTGTGTCAAAAAAGCAGCGGCGGCGGCGTCCCCCCTTTCTCCTGGCCCCACCCTCGCTCTTCGTTCCGTTGGTCTTGGAGGTGACTCCGTAGAGTCCTTCCGAGGTATATCCAGCCCCCCCCTACCCCTTTCCCTGCCTCCTCCTTTGTCCTCATGGCTGGTCCTTGGCGTGAAAATAGAGTGTTGCATAGAGTCTGAAAGAGGTGCGACACACGAGACGAGGCGGAGAAATGTTTCCCAGATACATGCTCGTGATAGTTGTCTGTGGTGTGTGGGTTATTGCATGTGTGTGTTAAAGCGTCTCTACTGCCATGCGCGCTTTTTTGTCTGGTGCGGTGAGTGTGTACAAAACGAAAGAGTTAAAAAATGGTTGTTGTTCCGCCTAGAAGGTAACTCGATTTACCCTTTGCCCTATGCGGTTCACACAATGTGCGCATTTTAATGAAAAATGAGCATATCAGAATGATTTCCCTCCCTTCAGAAAGAAGTGTCGCAGTTTTACAGTAACCCCAGCCGCGTTTGGCTCTCCCTTCGGGTAAGACTTCCCAAGCCACACGCTGTTCGCGGCGATAAATCGTATGAACCGGGTGGCTGTCCAGAAAACGAAAGTTCCGGGGAGGGGGTGGGTTTTGATGAGAGGACACAGTGCGAGGCGGGAAATGCGGGGATGCGTTGAACTCGCGATATCCTCTGCCAAATTTGGAATACGCCCCTTGGGGTAGTGATTTTCTTGACACGTATATTAATGTTTCGCGGAGGCAGCCGACTGGCGTGGTCCGCACCAGTAGTCGCATTTTTTTTTTTATATCTGACGAGGTGATTTTGACGGAGAGTACGTTGTGTTTGCGTATGTCATTTCCCGCCACGTGGGTGCTTCACGTTGTTGTAATTTCGTCTTGCGCTGTCCGGATGCGCTACTTCGATTGATTGTGATCTGGGTTGGGGGGAGGGAAGGGGGGGGGTACTTGGCCGGGAGGCATCGCGTGCCATGAGCAGGGAAGGCCAATGCAGCGAGCAAAGTTGCGGTCGAAAGCGGTTTGGAGTTATCACGTCACATTTTACACGAGCAACGATGTAGTATGCACCCGCAGTAGGGCGCGAAGGCACATAAACGAATACGACCAGATGGCAAAACGTTACGATTCGGTCGGGTGGAGGGTGTTGTCCTTCCCCCCCATCATCCCCGCTGTGCTTGCTTTAGCGATGCTGTTGTCTAGGGGACGGGAATACCTTAGGGTGGGGTGCTGCATTGTTTACGGTGCGGTTCGACAGACAGAATGTTCACGTATGGTTGTATGACGTCGTACATAACTCCCCGAGCGTGGGACGAGAAAGCAGAAGCAAGTGCGTGCGGGTAGCTGTTGTTGTTCTCCAGGAGGCGGAGGCGGGAGAATCAACGTAGCGGTGGCAGCACGTGTGCAAGCGCAAGTGCGGTTGTACGTACGTTAGAAAGAGATAGGGAAAGTATGCATGCAACCAAGCCAAGAAAGAACAAACTTGCTGCGTGAAATGACGTTGGTTGGGTCGGGTGGAAGAAGGTCCTCCAGGAGGGCTTTCTGTTGTGTTCATCGCCGTCGGAAATTGCTAGGGACGTGTGTGGCGGGAGGCTCTGCACTTCAAATAGGAGAGGGTTGTACACTATGATAGGAGGAAATGCGGGGACTGTTGCATATAGCTCGTCCGTTGCTCGAAAAAAGCAGCGGCGGCGGCGTCCCCCCTCTTCCTCACCCCACCCCCCTCTCTTNCACTTCGTGAACTCGGCAACCAGGTTACCGTTTTTTTTTACCTCTGGTTATTTTTGGTGGTAACCACAATGGTGGTTGAGCAGATCATGTTGTGCGGGGTCGAGAACCCTCACTCCGCGCAAGGGGGATGATCGCACCACGTTGTGTTAAATCGGTCAAGCACCCTCGAGGCAGTTACACAGTGCTTATTACTCTGTCTCTGGAAGTGAAGCACCAGAAAGTAAATTAAGTCATTCGCAGTTGTCATCCGTATGCAAGGAAGTAAGCACAAGATGCCGAACACCCTTAGCAGGATGCAGCGCACCCTTCATGCGACTCGCCGAATATCTCACGGCGCTTCGCGCTTGGTGATGTGAGAGCCTGGTCCGGTGAGAACCCGGCGTGCTCCGTCCCGGCTTTGTAGGGATGCGAGGTCAATGGTCTAACGACTACGGCATGCACGACTATGAATACACCCCCCCCGCGCGCCTGTGCTGGGTATCGTTTGTGTGGTGAACGCATCGCTTTTGACAACGTAGGGATACGTTCGCGTCGGGCGCTGGTTCTGGGTGACGATCTTTCTCAAACAAGACGTGATCGATGTTGGCAGTACTTTGCTTTTGAGCAAATTGTTTTCTGGCTATTTTCTGGCTATTCCACAGGAAGGAGTACGGAAGGATACGCATCATATGCCTGTGTCGCCCGTTGCTGGGAATACATTGGCCGGAACGCTGGGTGCGCTACACCGCTGCTTGCATGCACGCATGCGAGCGTATGTCCTCACCAAGAAAGGGAATATGGCGAGGAATTCTGGGCCGAGGATGAAAACAGCGCACGGTTAGACGCCCAGAATCGATTGTTGTGCTGCCGTGACATTGGAACCAACGTTCGAACCAACCCGTCCTCATGTGTTCGCTAGAATGATTCAGACATGTCTTCCCATTCTCCCATGAGGTCAGTGTCGCCCCGTTCATCCGCGCAAGCTCCTCTAGTACGTCCGTGTTATACGGACTACCGCGCAATAGCACCTGGGATTTGCGTTAAACAGGCCGCTAACAAGCATAATTTTCCAGAGTGAACTCACCAAAGGCTACTGTAGGAAGGTACCAAGTTTTTAGGTGTTCCGAGCACTGGGTCAGGTCACCGTTACATGCACGCGATGGACGGCACAAGGGACGGGCAGTCTGGCTCCGGCTCTCGACAGAAAACGTTGATCCTGTCGACACGCGACAAATGAATCTTCTACCATCATGTCATGGCGACAACGAAATCAATGCATCGCACACCATCGAAGGCGCAATACAAACGAACCAAGCTTCGGGTATCACATTCCAAAACCAACCGACGGATGGCAACGTGTGCATCAGCCCAGAAACAACAACAATCCAAAAACAAGAGGGAATCGAAAAGCCATCAGTAACATTTTTCGGAACACAACACGGCAACCCCAGGCCGCGGGGCGTTTTACCATCAAATTTTTTCGAGTGGCCACGGCGTTTTACTATACAGGACGACTCCGCACAGGTATAAGGACTCCAAGCGTGGTGCTAAGTGCCAGGACTTAGTTCCCGTCAAGCGGGAGGCGAAGGTAAGTCTTTTCTCCAAAGCGAGAACGACTGGATAATCGTTTGGTTCCGACCTCCTGCAACCAACGCTGCATCTCTCGCCTCTCCACGCGAACCTGACACGAGCGACAAAAAGAGTCAAAAGCGACAGCGCGGCCAAGATATCAAGGCTTGGCGCATGACCTTTGTTACACCGTTTGGTGTGGATGAGATCGAGAAGCAGCGTGCTGAAGCAGTCCCAGGTCTCGCCCACCGAAGCAAGGTTGTGATGGACCGACCATCACCATTTTCGACCCACAAGACACAGAGCCAACCTACATCCCCAAACGTGTCAACCAGTATCCGAGCAACCCCTTCATACACCTCCAAAACAGCGACGTACGAACAGACCATGAACCACCTTCCTCAAGCCAGCGAGAGCACAGCCATCTCTGTGACACCGCCCGTATAAATCCATCTGCCACAACATTTATTCGCGGGCGGTGTGCGCATGGTAGACGCTACGAGTGTTTTCATCCATCTACATTCGTCTCCTTTCCGTACCTGCCCTCGACTGTTGGACGGCTCCGTCACCACCAACGCCGGCTCGACGCTCGCGAACGCCTCCAATACTGCCCCTCGGCGCCCCGCGTTCGCCGGCTTCCCCCTGGTCTTCGTGGCCCTCCCCGCCCCTCCCGCCCCGCCCCCGCCCCTGGCCGTTCTACCCTCCCCCTCCTCTGCCTCCCTCGCCCCTCGCGCTCCCGCCCACTGCACGACGAGGCCGTCGGTGACGCCGCCCACGGCTTCGACCGCCTTCACGACCCTCCGCACGGCGGAGGGGATCACTGCCACCGGCGCTTTTCTCAGGTCCACCCAGAGCAGCGGCGCGTCTGTCCCCCACACCACCCCCGCTTCAGCCGCCGTAGTTTCCGTTTCCGGCGTACCCCTATCCCGCTCGTCCAAACTACTGCTGCCGTCGCCGTTTCTTCGCGAGGAGGAAGAAACCGGCACATCCCTGCCGTCGCCAGAATCATTATCACCGCTACCCCCTCTGCCGTGGCCATCTCGGTATCCGGTGCCGTCCTGCCGCCGCCGCACCCCCCGCTGCTGACGGGTTGCCGCTGCAGCAACCTTCTCGCCCCCGCCAAAGCCGATAGCGGCACCACCCGCTCCGGGCACTCGTCGCCGGCCGGCCGCACCAGCGGTCGCCCCCGATGACGCGTATGCGGTGGCGGCAGCGGCAGCAGCGGCGGCCGCGGCGGCGGCGGCCCAAGTCTGACCGGCGGCGGGGTCCGGGAGGATCCGCCGGCGGATGGCGTCCGCGTAGATTCGGTCGGCCTCCGAGGTCTCGCCGCACGCCGAGAGGGCGCCGATCGCTGCCGACACCATGTACGGCTCCTCCAGCGCCAGGGTTCCCGGTCTCTGATTTGGGGTGATGTTTGTGAAAAGCACGAGGGATAAATAGGCAATCTCTCACGATGTGCGTCGAGGTCGTTGGAGGCGGTCCTCCGATCAAATATCCGATTGTAGACCGCACCGGTGGCCATGAACGCGATGTGGATCGTGAATGAGCGGCGTCGCTCATCAAAGAGAGCAGCACATGGTTGTGAACCATGCCATCAGAATGTTTGGATGGTGGATGCGTGGGGCGGCCATTATGCCGAATACAAACACCACGAAACAAGCATATTTTCCCGCAATACACTCTTCGCATCGAATCGCGCGTGCCCATTCACGTGTTGCTCGATACTCTGGCCATGTTTTTCAGAGGCGTGGGGGGTGAGGCGTGTACCACGGCCTTGCTATTAAGGCGTGTGGAGAAAGAGGGAAGAGACGGAGAAGATGGCACGACACAAATGCACGAACAAGAACGGCAGATAATCTACCAACAAACAGTCACACAGAGGAAGAAGGAACGACACAAACACGCAGCTAATCAGACAAGCACCAGGCGGGGCAACTTTCGATCGAAATCGCAACCAAGAAGAGCAGGCCACCGACTACAGTCGGGACGAAACCTGACGGTGCGGGGGTAAGGGGGGCGGGTGCGGGCCCGGGTGTTCCCACCTTGCCGGGGGCTTGGTCGGTGTTCATCTCTGCCAGGCACCGTAGGACTAGATCAGGCCGCCGTGCGGCACCGCAAGCCTGCGGAGGTCATCAGAGGGCAGGGGGGGGGGGGGGGGTCGGGGGGAG